GACACTAATAACCAATTCGAACATACATTTGATACATTCATTCATCTATTCCTTCATTCCACTCTTACATGATATGGAACTCTTCACACAATCAGCACAATCGCGTTGCAATTTAATCTGTCACGCGCCGATCTCGATCATGTCGTTGTTGATTTTCTATTTTCACATCTTTTTTATTTAGAACAGTGTTGCAGGTCATTTTATTTTCGTCTCAATATTTCCATTTGTGTTATAGTTCTTATTAAAGTAGTAACTAGTGTTTGTGTTAATTTAAATGCAAAAAAAAAAAAAAAAAAGAAGAAGCAATATTCTCATTAAGAAATGGTTAAAATAAAAATTTCAAATTATTAAAACGGGTTCTTAACATAAAAGCATAAATTGTCCAATAAATTTATTAATATTATCGTTATTATAATTCTAAGGCTAAAGAGTCGTAAAGCACTAGCCTATCTAAGATTATTTACTTTATTGAAAAACTCTATCGCACTATAGATTTGTACCTGCGACCATTGAGTTGCTAATCGGTATCCTTTGCCTACTCCACCACACAAGGTTATGAAATAAAGAACTAAGCTCTTTAGACTTTTCTTTTTTTTAATATCTTTTGGATAAATATCTTATCTAAAAAATCGTTATAATTTTTACAAAAATAGTTTTTAGAAAACGCAAAAACATTTCAAGTCATATTTTTGCCAAGAATTTTGATAAAAAAAAAAAAAGAAAAAAAAAAAGGTTTTTTGCTTAATTGAAAATTTGTTTTCAAATTTTTTTATACCTATTACCGAAGGATGAGGGGTATATGCATTTCATCGAGACGTTTGCAACATCCAGAAAGAAGCCTCAGATATCAACACCAAATTCTAAACCGATTTAACCATGTCCGTCTGTTTGTGGGAAATACACACTCGGTCGCAAATATGCAACAAATTTAGCACAAAGATTGAAAAATGCCGCTCACAAATTACCATAAAATTGGAGCCAAATCGATCAAAGTTTACCGCCAAAGAACAATGCAACCTTAAACCGCCTCTTTTTGCAAAAATAAAGAAAATTTGGTTTTTTGCTTACCACTTATAAACGACACAAATGCCAGCGTCTGTAGAAAAGTGGAAAAAATTGGCTACGCTTTCTCAATGTTATAGACCGTCTCATCAAACCGTTTGCAATACTCAGAAAGAAGCCTCAGAGACTATGCTTAAAGTCTACATATTATTGATCACTATCAAAAGGTTCGGTCTGAATCGAATATAATTTTCTTACTTATTTTAATTATTTTCAACAATATATTTTAAAGAATTTTCTATAAAAATTTATTCGAACATTATTCTTCTTCATATTTTTTATATCCACCACTGACGGATTGGGGTATACTCATTTTATTATTTTTTTCATTCTGTATGTAACACCCGGAATGAAGCTTCAGCCACCTCACAAGGTACATATATATTTTGGATGAGCACGAACTGATTAACCTATGCCTATCCATCTTTATGTCTGAGTGGCGTTAAACTTTTGAACACAAATTCGGATAAGAATGGCACGTGTTCAACAATTGAAGTCTGTAGTAAGTAAGACCTATTTTAACCCGTAGATTACCGTTGTCCAACACAACTTTATGAAATTCAAAAAAACCATTTAATTTGCGATTTGCTTTAGAACTTTCATGAAGCTTGTTCTCTATACATAAATTTTTCATACAAAAAAGTATACCAAAAAGGATTCTTATTCCGCTTTTTATACACGTACCATGCCTGTAAAGAGTAATAATCTTAGCAAAAAATCTTTAAGCATAATTATCAGAAAAATTTGCGCTTGAAAGGGTTTGAATTTGAATACAATTAACGCAAGTTGATCTCAATCGTTTCAGTGACACTAACTTGTCTACAAAACGAACAAGTTTTCATGACCTAGCGATTCTTCATAATTCTTGAATATAAATTCAATTAAGTCCACTTATATACATTTGAAAAGTCAAAAAAAAATAAAAGGAAATGAAAAACCGACTCGTCAAGAGATTAGGAGATACACTCTTATGTGTTGCCGATATGTGTTTCCTAAAGAAGACATAGATACATTCGCCACTACTTTTTTTAGTTCTTTTAAAAACATATTCAAATAATAAAAGTGAAATTCGTTATTCGCATTTACCAAAACCGAGTATTCAACACAAAAAAGAGCAAGACAGTGATGTAGTATTCATCTTCAGTCAAATTTTTTTACACCCATCATTTGATTGTTGAGGGTGCTTGGGCACGTAAGACGCAATTGTTGCGGCAAGTTTCAGTTTTCTATATAAATATTTTGCGAATGCGACTGTACTAACAACAAGCAACAGCCAGGCGAATGGACGAACAGAAAGACGGACGTGCAGATAGACCGACAGACTTAAATTGATTAACGCGTTCAGTGCCAAGCGAATACTTAGGGAAATCCCCAATAGACCGCGGGAAGTGCAGTTTTTATGTTTACCGTGCTTCAATAAAATTCATTAAAATGCATTAACAAAATTATTCCTGCAATAAATGAAAACTTTCAGCAATTACGTAAAACAATATGACTTTTTTAGTTTTATGTCATATTTAACAATGTCAGTAAATAGTGACTGACACTGAACTTTTCGTTTAGGCCATGTTTTTTTTTTTTTTGTATGTAATTAAAGGAATTTGAAAACAGGAACTTTTCTCTAAGATTTAATTTCCCATGTTAGCCTTAGTTTACTAAACGACCATAGGTTACTTTTTAAACCGAGAAATTTATAGGCTGCACGTGAACATGTTCGTGAAATATTGGAACGTTCAATGGCAAGCAGCTCATAATGCAAAATTATAAAAAAAAAAAAAAAACAAAGCTGAAGAGCCGAAAAATTATGTCTTGCTTCTCTTTTCTGCATGCAAACCTTCGATTTTTAGTTTTTGAAAACTCCTCCTTTAAACTAAAAAAATGTTAATTACAGCCTTTATTAGAAATTTCATATTTCATATTCTGACCAACATCACAGAGATATCATACGTCTCAAGACATATCTTTGTATATAGTCTGTTATTTGTATATAGTCTACAAACAACTTTAACAAGAATACACATGATTTTCTTGTATGAGTATTAATGACCGATCACAATGCCAGAATATAACTCTAGAGAAGTATACAATAGCAGGCACTCAAAGCCGGTTCAATTCAATCTATTTTTTCCTGCTCCATTTGATTACAAAAGCTACAAGAAAGAGCATAAAATTTGATGATGGTGCAGGGAAGCGGTCGCTTCTACTCATTGCAAAGGCTATCGGAAAACTCTTTTTCAGAAATACGTTTATTTCTCATTCAAGATGAGTAATTTCTATACTTTCATACACTCAAATATTGAATCGATGACTACAATGTTGTACGAAGAAGCGTTTCCATAACGTCGGAAAAATGAAAAAAAAAAAAAAGGTGTAGTAAATTCTTTATTAAATGATACTCTGTTGTTCAGACTTGAATATATTGAAAGTAAGAAAAAAATAAAAATAAAAATGAATAAATAAATAAATAAATAAAATGACCGATGAAAATAAATTATCTGCTATAAATATAATTAAGTAAAAGTCAGAGTTTAGTTGAGAAACCACCAGGTCTTTTCTTTATATAAACCTTAGCACTATATGGATATGGATAACAATAAAAACATGGGACTACGAAATCAAGTTGTATTAAAAAGTTTAAGGACTTTTGGTGCAAAAGAAATTCATTCAATAACTTGGACTTAGTTCTTTTCTCGCATTTCGCTGTTCAATGCTTAGTTTATATGCAGCAAATGGCTATAATGGAAAAATAATTAATTATTCGTCTTTGTATTTGTTATTATATACAATATATCGAGCATGCAATGAACTAAATATTATTATAATTTTTACGTTTGGTTTTGTTAGTAATTTTTTTATATTTTTTTATTTATTTATTTATTTTTTGTTTTTTGTTTTATTGAATTATCTCATTATTATCAGCGTGAACAACTGCTGCTGTTATCACGCTTCCATCATTTTGCAATTTTATCTAAAATTTTTTATTCGAGTCTTCGTTTTTTTTGTAACGATATTATGATTGCGATTGAAAAAACTGTATACAATTGTACTAATTTTTATCATTCCTGATACGGATCCAATTTATATAATGAGAATGAAAATAAATCTTAAAAACAAATACACAAAAACACGCACATACACACACATACATACTACATACATACAATCAAATTGAATTTCAGATTTTAAATTCTCTTAATTTTTTCTTCTCTTCTTTTCATCTTTTATTTTAAATAAGGAAAAAAAATCGTTTAAACATTGTTCAGCATTTTGCCTTTGTTTGCATTTGTTCTTTTACTGTTTATTTGCTTAAGAATTTTTCGAATTTTCCCATTAGTTAATTATTATTATTATTATTATAATCATTATTGTTGTTGTTTTTGTTGTTGTTGCTGTCTTTATATTAATAATAAGTTATTAATAAATATTATGGCTCATTTTACTTCTTTTTTTTCTAATTTTCTTTCTTTCCTTCTTTTGTTTTTTTGTTTTTTTTTCTTTTTTGTTTTTTTTTTTTGTTTTGTGTAAACATTCTTATAATTTATTAATAATAATATAAATACGAAATCTTGTTGTTGTTGTTGTTGTTGCTGTTGTGGGGAGGATGTTCGTTTTTCTTCTTATTTTGTTTGTTTTATTTTCCAAAATGTTTCGTTAATAAATTTTTCATTTTTGTAGGGGAAGATATATAAGAAATAAAGGAGAAGGAAAATAAGCGCGGGAAGCAGAATAAATTATATTTTATATAAACAATTTTTAAAAAAAAGTTTCTTGGATTTTTTATAATATTGCATTCATACACTTATGTGTTGCAATTCGTTTAATATTTAATTTTATTATGTGTTTATTACGTGAACGTGGCGTTTTGTCTGTGTACTTTCGTATGTTTATGTGTGTGCATGCATGTTTTTATGTGTGGTTTTGTGTGTTTTATGTCTTTCTTTTTTTTTTTGCTTTTCGTTTTTGTTTCATTGCGGGAACATAGGATGTGAACATGAATTGAAGGAATAAAGGCAGAAAGAGGGAGATAGAGAGAGGGAGAGAGAAAGTGTAAATTTGTGTGTATGATTAAGGGTTTTGAGAATTTATATGCCGTGTAAAGAAATTGAAGGGCTTAGATGGGTACATAATTGCCCTTGGGCTTGTAGAACAATTGACCGGTTCTCATTCGTCGGAAAATCTCGGCAAGCAATAAACGTTTCTCCTTTCGAATTTTCTGAAGCACACCCTTATTCTCTTGGGCACGACGTGACAGATAGGGCAGCACCTCTTGCACAGGTCCGTAGGGTATGTACTTATATGCAGAGTAACCAGATTGACCTTAGATGAGGTGATTAATTGCAATTAAGTTTTCATCCTTTTTTCCGTACTATACTAAATTTTATCGCTTACCTAAGGGGAAAGTGATATAGTCACACATGCCTAATAATTGCCCAAAGCATATGACTTTGTCTTCCGGGGAAATACCGATTTCTTTCATTTTTTGTATAGCATAGCGTACAGTATCTTCATTGTGCGAAGCTACCATAATGCCAATTTTTTTGGCATCCTCTCCACAATCTTTGAGTATCTATAATAAGCGTAATAAGCATAAGCCGTCTTCAAGTTCCTCTCTTTTCTATTCTACAGTGTTCTTTTCACAAACCTTAATTCTTCTCAAACATTCAGTTAATGTCTTATGATACATATCTGTAGTTGCGTCGAAGTTGGGATTTATTGGATCAGGATAACCCAACGCTTCGGCACGTGCTCGCTCCTGCTCCATGTAAGCACCGCGCACTAGTTTTGCACCGAAATAAAAGTTTTGACGTTTAGCTTGCTCCAAATCAGTAGTCACCTGGAAATTGTTATTTGCAATTTTATAAATTGTGCAAGATGAGATTCGCAAACGTATTTACCTCACGAAAGGCTTCACGCAAATAGCATTGGTATGTATTGAATACTATAGCCTTGTCTTTGTTGTATTTGCGCATCATTTCCAAGGTTATACGTGAGATGGCAGGTTGGAAATATGTCTGTTCAGCGTCAACCATTATACGTACATCCAATTCTTCAGCAGTCTAATGGAATCAAAAAAGTGTTCACTTAATATTTTTACATTATGAAACGGCATTTTATGTTGTAAAGAATAACACGGCTTGTCCTCACGTTCAGTATCTGATCAAAAGAGTTAGTCCTAGACACTTCTCTAATATCATCGCTGGCATTTTAGTCTAAGGTACTATTGAAATAAATTTCGTTTGTTTGAAATCTATTTACAACAATAAAATAAAATTTGAAATAAATCCAATTTGCTAACTCAGCCCCCAATTTATACGCAATCACTTGTGTAACAATAGCAAATTAACAAATAAGAATGGTATAGTCGAGTAAGGCCAATCATTACATACCCTACACCACATCGCTTAATACACTCGTTCACTTATATTGTTTATAATACACCGATAATTATACATGATTTTCATATGCCAGAGGGAGCCGTTTTCAGTTGGGTTCGTCCTTGGGCCAAAACACGTCAGTCTATCAAATTTCATCGAAATATCTCGAAAATTGTAACCTGCAGACTGAAGACAAGAACGCATGGACAGACATCGGATCGACAGATATCAGTTGGATCGATTCAGAAAATGACTCTGATCAATATAATAAAGGGTTAGTCTATCCCATATCCTTCTGAGTGTCATAAACGTCCATATCTAACTTAAATTAACGTGTACCAAAAGTACCTGCGCCGCTGTAGGGTATCAAAGTAATAAAAATATAATTAGTTTTGCAAAATTTCTATTCGATCGATAGTGAAGAAAGAAAGATTGTGAGAAGTAGAGATTGCGCAATAGACGGGATGCCCATATATAGCAGTATACAATAGATGACGTTAGAATCACGTAACCTCACAAACGCTGTCAACCCCTATTGTAATCCAAATGAAAGGTGACGGTTCACATATAACTAAAGTAAAAACCTCTTAGGGTTTGGTAGTCGGCTTGAGTCGAAAGTTCTGTAAAAAAAATCGCTATATTTCACAAATTCACTTCTCCGGAAGCGGTAACGCGTCCCAAGGTAATGAAAAAATTTATAGTACCTAATGGTGAAGATGCTTTATCGAAGGAAACCCTAATCAAAAAATGAAAATTTCGAAAAACTGAAGATGTGCCCCACACTATTCGATCAATCGCTAATAAAGTTGATGAAATTGTTCGCAAAATGGAGAAAAACGTTGCGAAATTGAACGTTGATGAGAAGACAGTTTTAAATCATTTGCGTAAATGCTATTTGCGCAATCGTTGGATAAATGAAACGAAATCCAGCTATTCTTAAAGAAATTGATAAGGGCTATAGAAATTGAGTCAAATGCAAAGACAATACTGTGCGAAAAAGATCGTGATGACCATTTATAGAAGCGCCGTCAGAAACATCAAGTCAATAAAATGATAGCTTTTGGATGTTAAAATTCTAACAAAAACAACAACATTTATGAATATTTTAAAATAACAATAACAAAATAATGTTCTCGTCGTATTTTTCATTTTTAAGAAAAATTCACAAAAAAAAAAAAAAAAAAAAAATTGGTCACAGCGTCTTATATTCTTTACTGCTGCTGAATATCGGGAAAATTTTTGTGTATTTTTTTTTTTTTTTTTTTTTTTTTTGACAGTAGAGATTACCTTGACAATTGTATTTAAACGACGTATCATGTTCCTAAACATCTCTTCCTCTTTGGGCGGAATTTGTGAGATCAAACGGCGCATTTGACCAGTCTTTGGATCGGGCACTCTAAATGTATCACTTAACTGGAATTCGTCATTGACAATACCCGTCCAGGGGAACAAGTGCAAAATACTGGAAAATTAATGAATAAATCATTTCAAATATATTTGCTATTTACTTAAAATTCCAAATGTTAATAAAATTTAGAACAAGCAACCGTACCCTTCTTTATCGGAGGTAACATTTTTCAGGAAATTTTTCACTTCTTTATTATCGATGCCCAAGCTGACATAATATTTTTCCAAATCGTTAATGGTTTTATGATAATTTAAAACATTACCATCGCCACCAACCAATTCTTCAAAATATTGACGGGCCCGCGAGATTACCTCTGACAATTGCAACTGAAACACAAATGTAATGTATGAGAGTTGAAAGAAAGAAAGGATTAAAAGACAAAGAAAGCTAAGAATAAAGCCATCAAACTTACCAAAAGTTGTGGACGACCCAAAGCGGTCAATTTAATAGCCGTAATACCAGTACCGAAGGTAGCACCTATATGAGAAGAAAGACAAAAAAAATGACGAAAATGATGAACATTTGCAACCAAATATAAATTTATATAAGAACGACTACCAAGCTACTTAAGAAATTAAATCTAGTTCTAAGAGAATATCGTAACTGTCGTATAAACCATGATATTATAAATAAAAGACATCATGTGATTGCATAAGCTTATGCGTACTACTAAGGAAGTTTGACGAAAATAAAAGACAAAATTCAGGCCTTTATCAAATATTACACTCTGAGAAGGAGACACACCTCTCTCCGCTGCAATGCTCGAATCAGATACGACAGAGATCGTAATGGGTTTGCTACAATCTATTCTCTTCGGGGTATGTACCGAGAGTGAACCATTTTAGTTATAATCCTTATCGCCATGTATTATACTACGACTAGAAAACGAAAAAGAATGTGTTAGTTAATGGATTTGAAACTGAAATGGTTCTCTTTCAAGTGTTTTAAGCATAATCTTCGCATTCGCAATTATTCGCTATCCGCTATTCTTTAAGCATTAAAGGAGAAAAGTTGCAAATTCGCATCTAAGTGAAATTTAATTTTTGCAAGAATTGCGACAACAAAGCAAATTGCGCTTAGGGAAATTTATGAGAATTGTATCACAGACAGAATTGGAGGCTCTAGCTGTCTGCCTCTCTCTGCCGTCATAATAACGTTTCACCATTTTTTTCAATATATAAATTTAAAAAAAAAAGAAAAAATCTGTTCCCTCCATCAAAACACAATTCAATTCCCATGAAAATATATTTTGAATTTGAAAAAGCGTTATTTTATCTCAAATTTTCTTCTTTTTTGCGGTCAAAACAGTTACGATGCTATTAATAAGCACAAACGGCACAGGCATGTGCGTGTATGCTTTGCTTACTAACAAAGTAATTGGCTACAAAAGGAAAAAACATCTCATTATCATTAATGATTATTACAAGTCAAAGCTGTTTTCATGAAATAGCGCGATCTGATCCAACTTTATGGGACTGTAAGCAAAAGCTGCAATTGGAACTGAAGTACGCTTTATTGCAAAGTAAGAATGAAGAAGATTGCAATAGTTTGTGTGCTGTTAATGTCTCTGCCGCCCATTCGTATTTCAAAGAATTTAAAGAAACAATCAATTACGTGTTTGTTTTATATTCAAGCTTAGTATAATCAAAATTTTCTTTTGTATACAGCTAAGTAATTAAAACAACTTCGTAAGCAAAAAACAATTTGAAATAATTAACATTTTAAATCTATATGATATATTCGGACAAGAGAATAAATATTAAAACGCAAATTATTGCATATAAAAACTGAGACAATATTATTTCAAGATCTATTACGAGACACAAGACGAGGTAGACGATTAAATAAGACGAGCATAAAAAAATAAAAATATATATTAAGAGAGAATGCAAATCCCTTTAGGATGATAATCCCTTTAAGAATGGACGACCGAATTGGAAGAGGGGGTTAGAAAATGCAGTCGTGACTTCATCAAAAACTTCATTATTTTTCGCAATCCCAATAGCCCTATAGACAAATTGTCATCCTCTTTCCTGTCTTGCGTACTTGAATACTTCTCACTATGGAATTTATCTCCATTTAACCTTAAGACCCTCTGAACACCATTAAGTATACGTTTTCATTGGTTCTTTCATTACTTTTTTTTTCTCATTCCGAGAGCTAAAGAGCTAAGACTTAAGAAATTCGATGAGTCAATAGAGTCAAGTCACTTAATAAGGAGGTGCGAGCGCAAAATCACACTATTTGAAAGAGCTTCAAGCGCGAACTTATGCAAACACTGATGGGTTAAGATTTCAGTTTATTTGTGAAATAATTTTTCTAAACACTTAATAATTTAGTTCCGTTTACAGAAGAGTTTCGAGCAGAAATATATTTACGATATTCAAGTGAACTCTTCTTTTTCTTTTTACAAAACTAGGAAGAACTGACTTATACGACAAAACAAGTAGAGCGATCGCTAAAAATATTACAACAACAATAAACATTTAATAAACAAAAAAAAAAAAAAAACACATTAGTAACTAAACATAATATAATTATACAGAAAAATTTTAAAAAACAATTTTTCTTTTTTTTTCTTGAAGCGTAAATCAAAAGCAACATCAATAACAACATAATAATAATTAAAGAATAACATAATAGAAGCAGCAACAAACTAAGTTACAAAAGTAAAGGAAATAATTTTCATTTGTTTTTGCATTTTTTTGCATTTTTTTTTCTTTTTTGTTTAGTATTGTTAGCTTACCCTCCGCAACGCGTTTAGGGACATATTTAGCATCATCGGCTTTTGAGAATTTCCCGAAATTTTGTTTTTTAGTAATTTTCAGTTTAGTATTCATTCACGTAACAAAACAAAGATTATAGCGAAAAAAGAAGATTGGATGGGATCCGTAAGTCGATGAAAAAAAGATTTATTTTTCGGTTTTTTTTTTTTTTTTTTAATGTATGCATGTGTGTAGGTGCAATGGCATGAAGAAATAAAGATAGGATAAAGTTAACGAGTAAGAGAGAGAGAGAGAGAGAGAGAGAGAGAAAGAGAGGGAAAGAGAGAGAGAGAGAGAGAGAGAAAAGAGAATCAAGATGTTGGTAACGATAATGATATATATGACGTTGATCGTGTTGTTGTTGTTGTTATTCATATTAATATTATTATTATTATTATTATTATTGTTGTTATAGTTGTTGTTGTCGTTGTTGTTGTTGTCGTTGTTGTTGTTGTTGTTAGCGTTGTCGACGATGATCATGATGACGTTGATGACGACGGCAAGGTTAATTGCATTCATTAGTTAATTGTTTATTAAGCGCGCATTCAAACACACACACAACAAACCACACAAATATTTATATACAAAGGCACATGCAATTTTATTAGTTTTTTATTTTTAATTTTTTAAATCAAAATGTTTTTTTTTTTTTTTAATTTTTATATTTTTTCAAATCATTTTTTATGATTCGTGTGTTGGGTAAACAGATTACGTAAAGTGAGGCAGAGGGTGAGATGGATGATGGTAAAGATTTTTATGCCAATTTTTTATTTTCCAGGTTTAGTATAAAGAATGAAAAGGAAAACGAAAATAAAAAAAATATTATAAAAAATAAGTAAATAAGCATAACTGTCTTTAAAATGTTTGTTAAGAGCTTTAATAAATTAGTAAATAATTTCCGTTTTTTTTTTAATGCAATTCATATTAAATTGTTCTCTTTTTGTGAAAATAAAATAAAGGGCCCAAGAAGTAAATTAATCAAAAAAAAAAAATAAATAAATAAATAAATAAATAAAAATATAAGAAATAGTAATAGACCATGAAGTTAAACGATGCGTTTATTCAAATATTGCATAAAAGCAATCGTTCGATAGATGTCCGATATTTCGGGCCAAGATGTAATGTGTGTTTATAAAAAATTAGAAACGTATACTACTACTCCCCACTCCCCACACCAGCAGATTATAATTTGCTCCACCACCATTTTAGAGACTTTCATACCAACAAGAGACAACAATTCTGATCAATTTCACTCACTCCGCTCATAACTTCATTATAAATCATGACAAATTTTCATTTTTTTTTTTTTTTTTTTTTTTTTTTTTTTTTTTTGGCAAATAAAACGCTAGCGCTACTTAATCTTTATGTAGATATCAATCGTATGCATATATAGTTTCAAGTACGTAAATAGTGTTTTCATTTTCCTTATTCCCCTCTGCAAGCAATTATGTTCCTATAACTGAAATTTATTTCGATTTTTAATATATAAAACTAGTCAACACACTCACTTCTCGAGGATTGTTTCTTCACATGATGCATTATTCCAATTGCGTGTTAGATTTTTTTTTTTATATCCGCACAGGCAAAGTAATCAACTGCTGAAGCGCTATAGCGGTTATCCGGCGTTAGCTGGATAGGTTTACTACTTGTCTGCCATTTTAATAAACATGAAGTGTATTAATAAGCATTTTTAAGGCGATTGGAAACATTTTATTAAAATCGAAGCTCAATTCAATTACAATTTTAAGTGAGAACATCAAATAGCGTTGATAACGAGATCAGGCCAATGCTAACAGAAGTTAGACCAGGTCAGAACACTTTTGTTCTGCCGTATAGAAAATGTTGAAATCAATGCCCTCTTCGGCATCATACTTGCGGACTTAATCTCCACGAAATAAGCTGAGATTTTTAGACATTAAACGAAAATTTTCATTTTTAGGGATTTGAAGATCAATGACTACGTCGCAGGTGAGTTGTTACTGAAAGGCATGGATGGAATCCGCTAAAATGCAATCGCAATATAAGCGAAACCAATTTTTTTTCTTTTTATATCACCAATTGCTCAGGAACGTTGCCTATGCTTGCGATATACTTTGATGTTTAGGAAGAAAGGGAGGAAAAGAAAAGAAAAGTAGGATAGAGAGTGTCCGCAGCTTAGCGGGTCTGTGCCTTTAACAATTGTGTCACTCACTAATCGACTATAACCAAGCACGGGTTCTACCCGGTTGGAATCTGTATTCGCGAACACCGACTTGATATTAGCTACTCGGTATTCATTGTTATCTACTCGATTATGCACAACAACATCAAACGAGAAACTGTAGCGAACAATGAAAATGGTCTTACATTGCAGCAATAGTTTGGCTCCACTTCTTGCAAGCAAGCAATCACTTTTACACTATGTTTACTAGACGTCATCTTATGATTCAAGGAAAATAATTTCTTATTCTCCTATCGAAACTCTTTTACAACTAACAACAAAAAATAGTTATACACTGATATTTCTATTTGTAAAATTGAGAAGTATCCGTATATTCCATATATAGCCAAAAAACGGGTCCCCAACCTTTACAATATTAGTGGTTAAAAGCGGGCCAAATATCGCTGTTCAACAACCAATGATACAATTGGGATATTAAATGCAAGGTTTAATGTGAAAACTCCTATATACTTACGATCAGAATAGGTCTTTTCACTCATCCGCTTCTCTAT